CAAGGAACTTCATATTTGTACGTAGATTGTTTGTTTTTTTTAAAAACAGAAGTTATTAAACACTTTAAACAGCAGAAAGCCTCAGAAACCTGTTCAGAGAGTAGGTTTAGTGGGATACTGGGAAGGAATTCTTTCCTGTTAAGGGGGATGAGGGGCTGGAATGGATTTCCCAGAGAAGCTGTGGCTGCCCCATCCCTGGAAGTGCCCAAGGCCAGGTTGGAGCAACCTGGGCTAGTGGAAGGTGTCCCTGCCCATGGCAGGGGGTGGCACTGGGTGATCTTTAAGGTCCCTTCCCACCCAAACCAGGCCGTGATTCCCTGTTCCTGCCAGGTCTCTGCCCCACCTCAGCTTTAAAAATCAACCTCTCAGCTTTAAAATCAACCAGTTGCTGTCTTGCCTCGACCAAAACAGTGCTCAGCTACTACAGTTACTCAGCTGCTGCCCAAGAGGCCCCTCGGAGCCGAGGACACGTCACCCGACGTCCCCTGTGCGGTGACACCCTGGTGACACGGGGCTGTCACCTCACCCAGGGCACCCAGGTCACTCCAGGGCTGTGAACGTGCTCCAGAGATTACACAAGAACTTAAAAAAAGGCACAACCATTGTTGTGGGGAGTAAAGAGTCCTGTGAGTCACCACAGATAGGGAAGCAACACTCATCCCCCTGTGACTGCAACAACCCCCTGCTTCCAGCTGCTCTGCAATTCCAGGGGGTTAGTTCACATGGGGAAATTAGCTCAAAAGGCACCTTAAAAGACCCAGGAAAACTTTCACTCTTGGCTATTTTTAAGAGGCACTCAGCTATTTTAAGAAAATAAAGGGACTTACAGACTCGGGCTCTGTGCTTGGCAGTGTTTAAACTACGGCTGTAATAAGGATTTAAGTCTTTCTGAGTAAACCCAGCCTGTGTCAGGCTCCTGCTGAACTCTGTGCTGCTCTGCATCATGAAAAGGTGGACAACTGAAGGATAAACCAGCTGTCAGCACCTCTCACACCAGGGCTGGTTCCCGAGGACAAGCACACACAGTCACCACAGACAACTCCTGGAATCAGCAAAACACTTGGAGAGGCACAAAAAACCTGCTGCTCCATTCCTGGGATTTATTAAGACAGACCCCTGATTTCACCCCCAGTCCATGATGACACAATGAGGAGTGTGGGGACTGCTGTCTGAGGCACAGCCATCTTCCAGCCTTCCCAGAAAACAGAGACACCAGCTATGGAATCCCAGACTGGTTTGGGTTGGGAGGGACCATAAAGCTCACCCAGTTCCACCCCCTGTCCTGGGCAGGGACACCTTCCACTATCCCAGGTTGCTCCAAGCCCTGTCCAACCTGGCCTTGGGACACCAAACGACCTCCAGAAACCACCTAATCCTGGTGCAGTGATCCCAAATTTCCGTGGGAGCGGGGCCATCGGATCCACGTGCCCTCACAGCGTGTCCATGTCCTGCTCCCTCACGAGGGAAACAAACCCTCCCAGGTTTTATGGCTTTCCAGCCATAAATCCTGCACGGTGCCAGACAGGAACAGCCTCGAGCTGGAGGAACGACCTGGAGAATTCCCGGGAACACCTCAGCATTCCCCCGGTTTTCCTGGCCCTAATTAAGCACCTGCTTTAGGAGCTGTTACATCAGCCTTCCCACCTTACAGCGTTTTTACATCAGTCTGAGCCACCCTGGGGCACAACCTCCGGGGCTGTGACGTCAGGTGGGATATTGCAGCCACATCATCCTTCTTTCACCATGGCCTGGCATTGCAGAGCCAAGGATTCCTGCTGCTTCTGCACCCCTGGGACACCCCTGGGCAGGGTCCAGCACTGCTCCCTCCCCGTGTTCTTAACCTAAATTAAGGGAGAAACCAAAGGTCTCTGCTGTAAAAGCACTAAAACAAGAATTATACAGGTTTTCTATTCTGATGACTTGTTACACCACGAGCCATTTACTCATATAAATGTTTGAGGTATCAACACTCAGACATCACACCTGAAAAACCACCCTGGACATTTGCAGCACCACAAAACCGGGCAGAGGATGAATTGCTATTTACCTGCATCCTGGCACAGGTATTACAGGCTTTTTAACACCCAAATTCTTCAAAAAACACGTTATATTTCCAGTTTGGTCTCAAAAGTCCAGTTCCTGAATATATCCCTTATATAAACAACTGCTGGATTATAATATAGGATACTCTCTGAAATGGAAATGGGAATATCACCACAATTTGTATGGAAACTTCAGTGGTCAACTCAAGTATGTGTTAACCATATGTCAGCTGTCAACATACATTAACACTCAACACACGTGTGACACACCCAACACACGTGTGACACACCCCACACGTGCTAAACGAGTTCTTCCTACTCCAGAACACGTTAAGAAGCCTGCTCGGGTTACAAAAAAAAAAATAATCCTAAAATGTTTAAAACGCTTTCAGTTTAAGGTCCTAAATCGCTTCATCAAAATTCCTCCCCACAGAAACTGGTGCTTTCCAGGAAAACACATCACAGCTCTGGAGTTTCTCGGGGAAAAACCGACGCCACAGCGCTGGAGTTTCTCTGATGACGACACCACGTTACACCCCAGACTGAGAAGAGAAACCGCATCTTAAAAAGAAAATTTAACTTCAAGTCTACAAAAGAAACTGTTGACAAAATTTCCCATCACGTGTCGAGGATGAGGCACAAAATTCCAGGGAAATAATTAGCACGTAAGCTCATGGAGGCAGATCTGGAATGCTGGAATGACCTCACCCACTCCGCACTGCTCGGAGCAATGTGGGTTTGTTGTGAGGGGGTTTTTTTTAGCAGCCCCGAAACACACGAATATAAAGCAAAAATATACCTTTTTCCGCTTGGAATTCGCAGCTTTCTCGCCGGACAAAATCCCACGGTGCCCCAAGTCACCGAGCCCACAGCTGCGTCTCTCCAGCTGTACCCGGCACACAGTGAAGTGCTCGACAGGGACCGAACTCGGCGTCCCTTTTTTCTCTGCGGTCTGAAAGGCTGCCGTGAAATTTAGAGGGTTATATGGATCGTCCGAGGTACAGAACGAGTTCCAAAGTTTCAAGCTTTCTGCCTCATCCACGCTGCCACAGTCCCACTCGTCCTCCTCTTCAGAACTATGAGCAGAGCCTGAGGAGGATTCTGCCCACGAGTCTTCTTCTTCTTCCTCCTCCTCCTCTTCCACATCCGACATCTCCCTTCCCGGATCGCTGGAAGATGTCTGAATGGTGGCTGTGAAGTTCTGAGGGTCGTAGGGATCCAAACTATAGAAGGAATTCCAGAGGTGAAGCCTCTCCCCGTCCTGGCTGCCGGCCTCTGAGTCCGAGGGAAGCTCTTCGCTGTCGAACCCGTCATCGTCATCATCATCACCATCATCATCCCAGTCCTCCTCACCCTCGCTCTCCTCCCCGCTGAAAACTCCCCCGATGATATAATCGATTAATTTATTCGCACACGCAGGTCTGGTCGAAACCGGGAGGTTTTGCTCTGTGTCCGAGTCCTCACCATCCCCTTCAGGCAACGCTTCCTCCTCCTCCTCCTCCTCCGCATCCCGGACCCCCTCCTGCTCCACGGGCTGTCTCCCTGGATCCTCGGGCTGCTCCAGCTGCCCGGCACCGCCCCGCTGGTCCCAGCGCCCCGCAGCTTCCCGGCGAACATCCCTGTGCTGCTGCTCCTCCTCCAGGCTGTGGTAGCCGTGGTCGGGGTCGGGCACGGGCAGGTGCCAGCGCTGGAGGAACGCCAGGCGCTTGCTGCGGAGGAACTCGACCTCGGGCACGGCCTCGGCCCGCAGCGGCTGCGGCAGGTGGCTCTTGCTCTGCTCCATACCCAGCACGTACCAGTCCACGGCGAGGGCGCTCCGCACCAGCCCGGCCCCCCACAGCCCCGCCGGGGGCTCCGCGCCGCCCTCCGCCCGCTTCTCCGGGGGCTCCTCGGCCCAGCCCGGCGCGGCCTCCGCCTGGGGCAGCAGCACGAGCGGCGGCGGCGCCTTGGCGGGGCAGAGCGCGGTGCTGAGCGCGGGGCCGGGCAGCAGCCGCTGCAGCAGCGCGGGCAGCGGCGACAGGAGCTGCGACAGCACCCGCAGCCACGAGAAGGGCGGGCTCGCCTGGGACGAGCCGCCGGCGGGAGCCGCGCTGGGCCCCGCCAGCTTCGGCCAGGCCGCGGCCAGGCCCAGCCGGGCCCAGCCGGCGCGTTCGCGTCCGCTGTGCTCCATGGGGCCGTTCAGCGCTGCCAGCGGTGCGGAGGGGTGTGCGAGGCGGCGCTCCGTGGTGGCGCGGCGGGTCTGAGGGCTCGGCGGGCGGCGGGCGGCTCCGGGTCGGGTCTGGGCTCCATCCTGATGCGGCGTCGGGCAGAAAATGGCGGCGCCGCCGCCTCGGCGCTTTCCGCTCATCGGGGAGGGGCGGGGCGGGGCCGGGCCCCGCCACGCCCACCTCGCGCCGCCGACGCCCATTGGGCGGTGTCGTTGGGAGCCCGCCCCCTCCCCCCGTGGCCACGCCCCTCCGGGATTGCATCAGCCGGCGGGCCCCGCGCGGCAGCGCCCCCGGTGGCGGAGCGCGGAACTGCAGCGGGGGCGCCCCGAGAGGCCCCGCCCCGCCCGCCGGGAATTTGGGGGGTCCCCGGGGGGCCGGGGGGCATTCCCGGGAAAGGAGCCCCTCGGGCGGGGTCCCTGTGCTCCCTGGGCACTGGGGACGATAGGGCAGAGGTGGGGATAGATGCACGGGCAGAGGGGCAGGCAGATGTGCAGAGGTGCAGGTGGATTTGCAGGCAGATGTGCAGGCAGAAGTACAGGTAGATGTGCAGGCAGAGGTGCGGGCAGAAGAGCAGCTAGAGCTGCAGCGGCGCAGACAGATGTGTGGGCAGATAGGCAAGCAGGGTTCAGGTAAATTTGCAGGTAGATGTGCAGACAGATGTGCAAAGGTGCAGGCAGAGGTACAGGCATCATCCACGTGTTGCCCTGTGCCTTTCACCTCCTGTAACTTCCCACCATTGTTCCAGGCAGGAAGATCCCAACACAGGAGGGTCCCAACACAGGAGGGTCCCAACACAGGAGGGTCCCGAGGCAGGAGGGTCCCAGCTCTCCCAGCCCCAGCAGCTCCCCCATCCTCCTCTGCTGGCAAAAACCAGGCCCCCCCTCGGCCCAAGTGCCACCAGAACCAATATTTAAAACTTTTAATATAAAGGTTAAGTTCATTATTCTCGATCCTGAGAAACATTTCGTCCGTTTACGGAGCTGTCGCTGTAAACAAAGCACCACAGGCACCAAGCCCGCACCCGGGGCCGGGTGGCAGGCGAGGAGATGGATGTCCCCACAGCACAGGGACAGGGAGATGGGCCGGCTGTCCCCTTCCCGTGGCATCGGGGAGGGCTCAGCCACACGGAACGGGCACCCCGCCACGCCGCTCTCCTTTGGGAGCGAATTCCCCGGGGTGGGAATTGCCCGGCTCCAGGCAGGCTGGGGCTGGACCCGGAGGGGATACACACCCCCCCCAGCCCACAGCAAAGCCCTGCACCACCTCCCTCTCCCCTCCGCCCCCAGTGCCCGGCTACTCGTTATTAAAAAAAATTAAAATACAGATATCCCAAAGGAAGAAATAAGCCCCGAAACGCCCCCCCACGCCTCTGCCCGCCCCTCCCGCCCCACGTTGCTCCCTTGACACAAGGTAAACTTAAAAAAGGAGGCACCCGTGGCAGGACCCCTCGGGGACACCCCGGGGTGGGCAGCGCCGCGGGGGCCGTGCCGGGGGGTCCCTCAGAGGGTGCCGTGGCCGCGGGACCCCAGGGCGAACCAGCCCATCTTCTCCTGCGCCAGGTCCAGGTCGCGCAGGCGGATGCCCACCTCCCCCAGCAGGATGTTCTCCCAGAAGCCCTCCTCGCTCAGCACGCTCAGCCGCAGCTCCCGCTGCTCCAGGTCCCCCCGGGGGATCCCGTCGTACACCAGCTGTGGGGCACAGAGGGACGGACCCTCAGCCACGGCCCCCTCCGGGTCCCCCAGCCCCGGCCCCACCCAACCTACCATCTCGTTGTAGGTGGGGTTGCAGGTTTTTCGGGCCACTTTGGTTTTCCTCTTGGTTGTTTTCTGGGGGTCGGGCAGCAGGTAGGTCTTGACGTAGGGGTCGGGGTCGTTGCCGTCCTGCAAGGGGGGCTGTGGGCAGAGCAGGGGGGCCTCGTGAGTGCAGCAGGGGGAGGGACCCCCACCCTGCTCCCACCGGGCACCGGGCACCTACCAGCCCCCGGATGTGCATCACCATGATGAAGAGCTTGTTGTTCTTGTAGGAGATGGAGAGTTTCACCTCCCCGCCGACCTTCCCCAGGGAACGAGCCCATGTGGCGTCTGGAGAGGAGGAGAGCAGGGGTGGGGTGGGACAGCAGCCCCCCACCATCACCCCCTGCCACTGCTTCCCTCCATTGTCCTCCCCCCTCCCTACCTGCCGGCTTTGGGGTTGGGTTGGTGCCAGCTGCCTTCTCGTCCCGGGGCAGGGGGTGGAAGAAGGTGTAGATGAGGTCACACTGCAGGGGAGGAGGTGACATTAGTGGTGGCAGTGGCGTCCCCGCCGTTCGGGGCACAGGGCACGCACCAATGTTCCCACAGCGCACTGTCCCACCATGCTGCTGTCCCTGGCACTGCCCCCACCTCCCCACAGCCCCCTGCCCCAGCTGCCCACCTCTGCCACCTCGGGGGCCGCGTGGATCAGGTGCCAGATGTAGCCGTTCAGCTCCTCCTTGCGCCGCTCGGCCACCGCCTCGCCCCGTGAGCGCCCGATGACGAACCTGCTGGGGAAGCTGCAGGGACGGACCCTCAGCCGAGCCCGGGGGGGCTGGGGGGAGCCCCGGGGGGCTGGGGGGCTGCGGGGGTACCTGGGCAGCAGCGAGGAGGGGAAGAGGAGGCGCAGCTTGTTGTGCAGCTCCTGGAACTCCTCGAAGGTGCGCTGCACGAAGGTCACCTCGCCCGGGCTCTCCCGCTGCACCTTCACCACGTAGGTCTGGGGGGAGGCAGGGCTGTGAGGTGGGACCCCGGGGCGCCCTGAGTGCACCCTTTCAGCTGTCCCCAGCTGTCCCCACTCACGTAGCCCTTGCTGGGGTTGAAGACCCTCTCGTGGCGGCACAGGAAGACGTCGCGGATCCGGCCGGACGTCTTGAGGGTGTGTGTGCGGGGGGCGAAGGAGAGCGTGGGACGGGCGTCCGAGCCCGTGAACTTCATCTGCGCCAGGTTGTGGATGAAGAAGTTGAGCTTGGTGGCCACGCTGCCCAGGCTGGACTCGATCAACCTGCCAACAATGTGCTCAGCGCGGAGCCGGTGCTGCTGTCCCTCCATCCTGCCCCTTCACCCACCCCTGTCCTCTACCTGGTGAAGTAGGTGGTGGCATCGGCATCAGAGTCCTGTGGCCTCAAGGCATCGTAGACGTACTTGAGGTCCTCCAGGTCGGAGAGCTCGGGGATGCCACAGGACAGCATCTGGGAAGCGAGGCAGGGGTGAGGGCAGGCAGCAGGGGGACCCCTGGGAGGGGGGAAACTGCGGCCCCCCGGCTCTCACCAGCCCCAGCAGGTTGAGGAAGAGGTGGGTGTGCTTGCGGATCAGGTTGTAGGCCTGGCAGCACAGGTCCACGAAGTCGTGGAAGCGGCTGGAGGGCTTGTCCCCGCCGTTGATGACATAGGCCATGTCCGAGGTGAAGACAAACGGCGCCCGGTCCCTGCGCCGGGGGAGAGGAGGGACAGAAGGTGAGCACGGACAGGGATACCACACCAGCAGAGGAGAGGGGGCTTCACCCACCACCAGGACGAGGAGAGGGGGATTCACCCCCCAAAGTCCCCCTGGGCAGAGGGAGGCACCCGAGGCTTTTCTCACCTCTTGATGTTGCCGAACATCTGCGCGTGGCCCAGGAACCTGCCGAAGTCGATGTGGAACATGTGGCCCGTGGTCTTGAGCATGATGTTGTCGTTGTGCCTGTCACAGATCCCCAGCACGTAGGTGGCCACGCAGCAGCCGGCGCAGGAGTAGATGAAGTTTTCCACGGCCTGGGAGGGAGGGAAGGAGAGAGCAGGCGTGGAGAAAGCCTGGACGTGATGGGAAGCAAGGGGGTCTCATCCCTGGAGGGGGGGACATAAGCAGGGACGCTGCCAGGCTCTTCCTCACCTTCTCATACTCGTCCTCCTCGGGGTTGTGTTTCTGCAGCCAGTCTGCCAGCGGCCGGTCCTTGAAGGAGCCCGTCACGCCGTGCTCCACCTGGATTTTGCGCAGGGTCTCGGCGTTGGGGATCATCTCCACCATGCCTGGCGGCCGGGACACAGGGTGAGACCCTTCCAACCCACCCGGGGGGCACCGAGACCCCAACCCCACTCTGCCACTGACCCAGGCACCTCCCAATCATCACCACTGAGTGACAGCCCGCAAAGCCAAGCTCCTACGTGAGCTGGTGGGGTCAGACCAAAGGTGGATCACGGGTCCCCACAGGGCCTCCTGTGCCATCACCAGCCCCACGTGCCCCCCTGGGATGCCCTGACCCCGCTCACCTCGCCCACGGCCCGTGGAGAAGCAGCGGAAGATGACCATGCGCATGTCCAGCCCCTCCTGCACCCAGATCTTGTTCATGATCCGGATCATCTGCAGCGTCAGCATGTCCTGCCGCAGGTCATCGCCACACTGCCAGCAGGGGAGAGCCATCAGGGACAGGGGAGAGACATCAGAGACAGGGGAGAGCCATCAGGGACAGGGGAGAGACATCAGAGACAGGGGAGAGCCACCAGAGACAGGGGGAGAGACATCAGAGACAGGGGAGACATATCAGAACCATAGGGAAGAGCCATCAGAGCCAGGGGAGGGACATCAGGGACAGGGGAGAGACATCAGAGACAGGGGAGAGACATCAGAACCATGGGAGGGACGTCAGAGGCAGGGGGAGGGACATTAGAGGCAGGGGGCAGTGGGGGATGAGGGTCAGGGGATTGGGGTGGTCGTGCCGGGGGTCTGGGCATGGCCAAAGGTGCCACGTGCCAGGCTCACCTTGAAGATGACTCGGATGTTTTCCCCCAGGGGATCCACGTTCTGGAAGGAGAGCTTGAGCGGGACGGCGTTGGAGTTGAAGTAGGAGCAGTCCTGCCACGGGAGGAAGGCACAGCCCATCAGGGCGAGCTGGGAGCGGGCACAGGAGACCCCCCCGGTGCCCCCCGGGTCCGGCACTCACCCGGGGCACGATGCCCTTCACCAGCAGGCTGGGGCTGAGCGGCAGCCGGCACGAGCCGTGAGCCTTGAAGAACTGCTTCACGTCCTCCAGCCCCTCGCGGAGGATGCCCTGTGGGGCGGGCACGGGCCGGGGGTGGGCATGGGATGGGGTGAGATAAGGATGGGTGTGGGATGGGGTGGGTAAGGGGCAGGGTGAGCACAGAATTGGGTGAGCACGGGGTGGGAATGGGACAGGGTGAGCATGGGAAGGGGTGGGCATGGGATGGAGCAGG